TCATATACCTTACAATCTTTCCATTTAAAGTGTGCAATCCAGTGGTTTTGGGATATTCACAGAGTTGTACAACCATCACCATAATCAATTTTAGATAATTTTCACCAACTCAAAAAGAAATTCATACCCTTTAGCTATCACTACTCAATCCCTCCATCCTCCCCAGACCTAGGCAATCCTTAGTCTATAGACTTTCATATTCAAGTATTTTCACATAAATAGAATGTGGCCTTTTGTGACTGCATGTAGCATAACATTTTTCAGGTTCATGCATGTTATAGCACGTAACAGTACTTTCTTTTTATTGCAGAATAAGTTTTTGCTGCATGGATGTCACATTTGAAAAATCTAGGGCCTGCTTCGGTGGCTCATGGCTGTAATCATAGTATGTGGAAGGCCATGGCAGAAGGATCATTTTAGCTCAGGATGTAGAGGCTGCAGTGAGCCAAGATCACACCACTGCAACTCCAACCTGGGTGACAAAGTGAGACCTCATCTCAAAAAGTAAAATAAAAAATAAAAATAAAAATATGTTTATCAGCTGATGGACATTTGGGTCTCATGTGCTTTTAAGATTTTTTATTTTTAGAGATAGGATCTTGCTCTTTTGTCCAGGCTAGAGTGCAGTGGTGCAATCATGTCTCACTGTAGCCTCAAACTCCTAAGCTCAAGCAATGCTCCTGCCTCAGCCTCCTGAATAGATAGGACTATAGGTATACACCACCATGCCTGGATAATTAAAAGAAAAAAATTGTAGAGACGGGGTGTCCCTATGTTACCCAGGCTGGTCTGGAACTCCTGGCCTCAAGTGATCCTCCTGTGTCAGCCTCCCAAAGTGCTGGGATTACAAGCATGGGCCACCAGGCCTGGCCAATTTAAGATTTTTATTTTATTTTATTTTTTCAATTTAAGACTTTTGAAAAGGCAGTATTATTGGGTATAAGTATCCTTCCAGAATTTTTTTTTTTTTTCAGATAGATTCTCACTCAGCCACCTGGGCTGGCATGTAGTGGCGCAATCTCGGCTCACTGCAACCACTGTCTGCTGGGTTCAAGCGATTCTCCCACCTCAGCTTCCTGAGGAGCTAGGATTACAGGCACCCGCCATCATGCCTGGATAATTTTTTATTTCAGTAGAAACCGGGTTTCACCATGTTGGCCGAGCTGGTCTTGAACTGCTGACTTCAGGTGATTTGCCTGTCTTGGCCTTCCAAAGTGCTGGGATTACAGGCATGAGCCAGTGTGCCTGGCGGCCAGGCTGGTCTTGAACTCCTGACCTCAGGTGATCCATCCACCTCAGCCTCCCAAAGTGCTAGCATTACAGGCGTGAGCCACCATGCCTGGCCCTGAATTTTTTTGATTGCATATATAGACATTTCTGATGAAAAAAGATAGGATCTTTACCTGCTATGGCAGAGTCCGTTTTTAAAAACTTTGTATGAAGAGAATTGGAAGTTGGTTGGTTAATTCAAATGGCTTCCCATTAATAATCTACCGGACATAAAAGTCAATAGGCTGTTAATATCACTCATATATACATATATATATTCAAGATGGAGTCTCACTCTGTTGCCCAGGCTAGAGTACAGTAGCGAGATCTCAGCTCACCACAATCTCCGCCTCCCAGGTTCAAGCAATTCTCCTGCCTAAGCCTTCTGAGTAGCTGGTATTACAGGCATGTGTCACCACACCCGGCTAATTTTTGTATTTTTAGTAGAGACAGGGTTCACCATGTTGGTCAGGCTGGTTTCAAACTCCTGACCTTGTGATCTGTCGCCTCAGACTCCCAAAGTGCTGAGATTACAGGAGTGAGCCACCGCACCTGGCCCATTCATATGTTTTATAGGGAATTGGAGGTAAATGTTGGTTAGGTTAGTTTCAGTTAAGAGAACTGCTCTTGCCGGGCGCGGTGGCTCAAGCCTGTAATCCCAGCTCTGTGGGAGGCCGAGGCGGGTGGATCACGAGGTCAAGAGATCGAGACCATCCTGGTCAACATGGTGAAACCCCGTCTCTACTAAAAATACAAAACATTAGCTGGGCATGGTGGCGCGTGCCTGTAATCCCAGCGACTCAGGAGGCTGGGGCAGGAGAATTGCCTGAACCCGGGAGGCGGACGTTGCGGTGAGCCGAGATCGCGCCATTGTACTCCAGCCTGGGTAACAAGAGCGAAACTCCGTCTCAAAAAAAAAAAAAAGAGAACTGCTCCTGCACTTGGACTTTTTTTAAAGAAGATGAATTTCCCCTATCTCATTACATAATAACATATATTGAGCACTTACTATGTGACAAGCATTTAAGTGCTTTGCATGCATTAATTCTTTCAATCATCAACAACCCTATGAATGAGTACCATTAATATCTCCTTTTTATAGATGAGGAAACTGAGGTGTACAGGGAGGAAAATTAAATTGTTCACAGTTATGCACACTGTGAGTGGCAGAGATTTAATTCAAACCCAGTCTGGTCAGTAGAATCCACTCTTAAGCATGGTACACTATGGACTTATCAGTTTAAATTGCTTTATAGGATGTGATTATAGGAATGTGTCAAGTCATAGTTGATTTTATTTTGTATTGTTGTATCATCTATTTATTTAGAGACAGAGTATTGCTCTGTCACCCAGCTGGAGTGCAGTGGCATGATCTCAGCTCACTACAACCTCTATGTCTTGGGTTCAAGTGATTCTCATGCCTCAGCCTGCCAAGTAACAGTGCAGGTGTGCACAACCATGCCCAGATAATTTTTCTAGTTATAGTAGCATTGGGTTTTCACCATGTTGGCCAGGCTGGTCTCGAACTCCTCTGCTCAAGTGATCCACCCGCCTCAGTCTCCCAAAGTGCTGGGATTACAGGCTTGAGCCACTGCACCGGCCTCATGTCATATTTTATTAATCACTTGTTCTAAGAAAAAAATTGGCCAGGCCTGATGGCTTATGCCTGTAATTCCAGCACTTTGGGAGGCCAAGGTGGGTGGTTCACCTGAGATCAGGAATTCGAGACCAACATGGTGAGCATGATGAAACCCTGTCTCTACTAAAAATACCAAAAAATTAGCCCGGTGTGGTGGCACACACCTGTAATCACAGCTACTCGGGAGGCTGAGGCAGGAGAATTGCTTGAACCCTGGAGATGGAGGTTGCAGTGAGCCAATATGGCACTACTGCATTCCAGCCTGGGTGACAGAGCAAGACTTCATCTCAATAAAAAAATAAATAAATAAATAAATAAAAAATCGCAGGGCATGGTGGCTCACGCCTATAATCTCAGCACTTTGGGAGGGCGAGGCAAGCGGATCACCTGAGGTCAGGAGTTCAAGACCAGCCTGGCCAACATGGTGAAATCCCGTCTTTATAAAAATAAAAATAAAAAATTTTTAAAAAAGAAAATAAATAAGAAACAATTTTGTTACGCTTCCTCTATTATAAATATTCCCTTTGTATTGAAATCTCTCCATAGGTAATGGTACACACCTGTAATCCCAGCACTTTGAGAGGCCAAGGCAGTAGGATCGCTGGAGGCCAAAAGTTTTGAGACTAGCCTGGTCATCAAAGCAAGAACCCATCTCTATGAAAAATAAAATAAAAAATTAGTTGGGTATGGTGGTGCCTAGGTATAGTCCAAGCTACTCAGGAGGCTGAGATCAGAGGATCACTTGAGTCCAGCAGTTCGAGACTGCAGTGAATATGATTGAGCCACTGCCCTCCAGCTTGGGTGACAGGGTGAGACCCTGTCTCAAAAACAAACAAACAAAATTCAAGGTCTGGGTGAGAATGAAAACATCCCCATAAGCCTCCCTGACCTCAGCACACACACACACACATACACACACATGCTAACTGTCCTTTCTTCCTGCCTATGGGTTTGCTGCCTTCTCTGGGGAGGTGCTCAGCAGGATGTCTCTGCAGGTTCAGCGGGCTCATCCTAAGGCACTTGCTACACACAGGCTCACAGGGGCAGGTGAGGGAGCCAGAGAGGGATCAGCTCTGACTCAGAAAGGGCTGGGGAAACGGACAGGAAAACCTCACAGCTTTCTCCCTCCCTCCCCAGGGAAGATGCACACAATGCCGGGAGCCCAGACATCGGGCTGGGGTGACTCCTGGGCTCAAGGGAGGAGGCACCCGGGGCTGGCCTTGGGCCCTCCCTGTCACTGTTCTGTGTAGAGCTCCACCAGGAAAGGATGAGGCCCTGTGCTGGTGGGAAGAGGAGCAACAAAGGGTCAAAGACAGACCTGGTTCTAGAACAGAGCTCTGCTCAGGCAGGAGGGGGGGAAGGTGAGACCTGGAAAGACACAGTCTGGGGTGGAGATGGTTCAACTCTGAGAACAGAGCAGAGAAAGGAAACTGGTCCCCAGAAAGCAAGCAGCCCCTGTGTGGAGAACTGCCCTTCCCCTCACTGCTTACACAGGGTTCCACCTCCTGGACCCTGCAGAGGGAGACCCGGTGATCCCAGAAGACTATAGGGAAATCACCCTGATTCCTGGCCTCGTGCAGAAGCCTATCGCTAGCTTTGCTGATTTTATATGAGGATGACAATGATGATAATTTTTTTTTTTTTCTGAGACACGAGTCTCTCTCTTTCTCCCAGGCTGGAGTGCCATGCAGCAATCTCTGCTCATTGCTATCACATCAATAAGATGTGTTATAGGAACGTGCCAAGTCATAGTTTATTTTATTTCGTGTTGTTCTATCATCTGTTTATTTAGAGACAGAGTATTGCTCTGTCACCCAGGCTAGAGTGCAGTGGCATGATCTCGGCTCACTAAAACCTCTGTGTCTCAGGGTCAAGTTCAAATGATCCTCCTGCCTCAGCCTCCTGAGTAGCTAGGATTACAGGCACCCACCACTACGGCTGGCTAATTTTGTATTTTTAGTAGAGACAGGGATTTGCCATATTGCCCAGGCTGGTCTCGAACTTCCGACTTCAAGTGATCCGCCTACCTTGGTCTCCCAAAGTCTGGGATTATAGCTGTGAGCCACCGCGTGCTGGCCTGTTATTATTATTTTTTTATATGGGACACTTCACACATTTTTGTGGCATCTTTGCACAGAGGCAAGCTAATCTTCTCTGTATCGTTCCAGTTTTAGCATATGCGCGCTGCCAAAGGCAGCACAGTGAGCTTTGCTGATTTTGAGCAGCCCTTCCTCTTGGCCAATGGAAATTGGACTGGAGGAAGCACCCGGCTCAACCAGCACTCCTCCTGAAGTCATGCTATGCTCAAGGTCAAGGTGAGGCCATGGACAGGGTTGAGGACCTGGGAGAGCCCTGGAGCCTGAGCCAAGCTCGAGACCTTTGCTTACTCCCAGGTGGACCAGCAGGAATGATTGGCCCCATCTTGCCAGCAGGAGGGAAACCTCTACCTGACTGACTAGTCTGATGCAGAGGAAGCCAACACACAGGCATCAAGGGCCTTGGGCTAAAAACAGTGGGGCCATCTCCATCTCCGGCTTTGTGCTGGGCAAGGCAGTGGATGTACTGAACCACGGACTCCCCCATGTGTCTCCCCAGGAAAACAAGCTCACTTGCCTGTTGCAAGTCAGCCCACCCGTGTCAGTGCAAATTGGCTGCTGGAGAAGGATGTTCTTCTGAAGCCTGCTTGGGGTGGGGTGTGGGGAAGAGCAGTTCACACACAGGCAGGCTGGACCTTTTTTTTTTTTTTTT